GAGAACAGAGAGACACTACCTAAAACTAATAATAACTAACAAACTTTCTTAAGTTACTTTCCTTAGCCCTAAAAGAGCTCGCTGGAAGACAGCCCTGCTGTCTAACATCTCTTCCTGTTTACTAAACTGCTCTTCAGCAACTAGAGTCTGCTTTAAGCGCAGCTAGAAGCGACTAAACCACAGCACAATAGCAGTACTATACAGAGAACACTCTCACTTTAAACAAATTGTACCTAGAACGGCCTCTGGCCAAAGTCTTACATAGTCACTGACTGCAGATAGACTCTAATGGATTAATAATAATAATAATAATATCTATATACAATGCTGGCTGCTAGGGTAACAATCGGGCCGGGCAGGTGGAGTAAACGAGGTCGTAGACGAGTATGGGAGGCGAAGGGCGTTCAGCCCGTTACATTATATAGCTACTTAAAGATGCTTAAGTATGTTATACTATACTAAAAGCTTATAAATAGCTTTATAAACTAGCTTATAAAACTAACTATAAAGCTATAAACTTAAAAAAACACTATATAGTACTCTAAGAAACTAAATATCTTCTTTAAAGACTTTAATTCATATAATACTATTACTAAAGCTCTATAGAATAAAATAGGTAGAATAAACACCTTCTACTAACCTAACTTACTAAATATCTTAGTATTTTTTTATATAACTCTAGCAGCTTGAAAAGCTATATAAGATTTATTATCTGAGAGGAGCCCTAAAGCCCTCCCTAAAACAATATAACTCTTTTTCTCTTATTCTATAATTTTTTACCTTTACACTTTCTATACTACTTACATTAATTCTACTATAACTACTTACCCTTCATTTACTATATTTACTATAATAATCTAATAGCTAAACTAAGCTATAACTGAACTAGAGGCTATCTAACTAGTAGAATCGTAACTAACTAAAATCTATACCTTAGTATATATAAAATAAGTAAGACTAAGTAGTGCGTTACTACTATAAGCCTTAGGCCTTACCTGTATATATACCCTAAGGGAGCCTTTTAAGTAGGGCCGTTAAACCTTTTACATATATACATACATACATGACGATAAGTGAGCTTACACTTCTCGATATACATCATAATAACAGCAGCAGCCAAATTGATTACAGGCAAAGTCTATTCAACCCGCACCTCAGAAATACTATCACCCAATCTCTTTTCTTATCACGCATCCCTTTTAGATTAAGTGGTTTTAAATATATATCGTGACATATTGCTATTTGTTTCGTACTATTTCTTATGCTGTAACCTTTGTGTAGGTTTTTTTTCCTTTTCTTTTCGTTTATTAGCCTGACGTCTGCGCTTCATCTAAAATTCTACTTCTAACTTAGATTAGTCTAGTACGACTTCATAGTTGGTCGTGAGCTATGGCTCACTACGCGTTGCGGGTATGGATACGCTACTTGCAATACCTTCAGACAAGTGGATATATAAGCAGGCGTATGTCCGCTTTAGCTGACATAAGTTATTACCAATTACTAGGGGCGGGCTGTAACATTCAGGCTTTAATATTGACTGCCCCGTTTCCCTGTGTTTCAAAGGCGGAAGCCCCTTTAATATCCCGCCCAGCTTGGCGCTTAAGGTTAGTGACGAAGCTGATGTTGCTAGCCCACGAATAAAGGCACTACTAATATACAGTAAATGACGACAGACGCTACTAGTCTCGACTTTGTAGACTAAGAGTAACGACTGCAACGCTAGTGTCCAAAGTAGAACTTCCATGTAGCTTTATTACTACCATCAACTAGTCCCCTGATGCTTCTAAAAGTGTTCCCTCAGCCGCTGGTCTTGGCGACATTGCATTAAACGCTTGGCATAACAGACGGAATATGCCATCTATAACTCTTCAAATGATTATAGTGTCAGCCAAGCGTCTCACATAATCCTCTAAAAAGTCTGGGTATTTGTGGTGACTGCATATTTAATTAGCTATGTTGTACACAGTGGGTATATAAACCACCTTGTTTCTATCATTGTTATGACATCTCTGACCAACACTCTCCAAAACAAGTGTCCCATCCAACAACGTGTTTCAGGAACGGTTGCGATTGACATTAAGCTCCAGCCAAGCTTTCACTTTGACTCCTCTCAATTCCTACCACTCTATCATGACATTCCGCGCATTTACTATTCTTGTTACTATAAGCTTCATTATTACTAGAGCGTATAGCACGAACCTACATCCTTCTCTCTTTGAAAAACGTCAAACATGCCCTACATGTGCCCTTGGTGGCAATCCAATCGCTAAACTTGTGAAGTTTTTCTTCGCTGGAGGAGATCAGCAAAGCAGGTCTGATTGCAGGTATAGAACAAAGTTTAAGCATTGTTATACATGAACTAATTGCCTGTTTCTTAGAATGGAATCAGTATTTGGTCTTCCGTCTGACCTTGGAGGAGAGGGATCCGGACAATTCGAGGCCGCAGTTCGCGTTAATTTTGACGAAGACCAGCTTGCTTGCTCTGTAGAAGGCGTTTCCCTCCCAATTGGCAATGAAGTCGAAGATACTGTGTGCGTCGCTGGAGGGTGCGCCATCTCGGAAGTCACAGACAAAAGCGCGCTTGTCACTTGGGGGGCTTGTATTGTCCGGCCGAATACCCGTGTTGCCGAAAATCAGGCTCTTACAGATGCCGAGTGTCTTCCTGCTAAAGGTGCTATAAGGTTTGCGAGATTCCATGACACAGAAGACTGCAGGGGCACGGAAACCGTCACGCAGCCGACTGTTGGTGGACGAAGCACCACTGACTTTTCTCCTAATGACGGTGACGGTATTTTACATGGCGGCATCATTACTAGATGCAGCACTGTTAGCAAAGTTTAATTGCAAGTAATCTAAATCTAGCCATCCCCAGGTACTGTTCGAAGACAAACAAGAAGAATGAATATCATAGTACTACCTTCTAACTACAAAATAAATTATCATTGGTTTGTAAACAGGCACCAAAGGAAAGGCGACTTTAGCTACAGCTTGATGGTGTCAAATACATATATTGCCTGGGTGTTATATATGTTGGAATGCAATGTCTTTGTAGTAGACATAATGATGTGAAGGGTTTCCACCATTAGGTAACTACTTTACAGGTGTGAGGTATAATGAACAGCGATATCTTCTTAGTAGGTAGAACAAAGCAGCTGGCTTCTTGCCTTAGCCTTTGCTACTAGCTAAGAGAAATAATAAACAAATCGCAACACCTCTCCCTTTTAATAAAAAATAGTTCTAAGAAATATTATCAACTTATCTTTTTATTAAGTTAACTATAAATTAATTCTCCCTGAGGTGAGTAAGAAGTATAGGAATAGTATAAGAATTATTGTAACTTTGTACTAAAGTATGAACTTTTTAAAGCTAAAACCTTAGCTGTATTCAGATTATCTCAAATTGTCAGATAAGTGGCAGAATCCGGGTGCGGACTCGAGCACCAGGATTCTGTGATCCTAACCAATCAGGGCTGATCGCCAAGACCTAACCCTAGGCGAGGCTGATATTTAGCGGCCTACCTAATACAAAAAGCAATAGCGATAGCTCTTATAAGAGGCGCGCCCTCGCGCCTCTATAGACAACAGAACACAGAACAACTTAATACACTTAGTTTCTATACTTAAGTCTATCACAGTCTTTTATCATAGTAACCCAAAAATAAGTCCTTAATTAGAAACCTCTTATAGTCTAACAATTAAGAGTCTTACTGCCTTTACTAAGCCAATCAACATAAACGCGCAATCTGCTCTAATTAACGCAACCGTTATCTTACGCGACGAGAACGACTATTGCACCTGGTACAACCAGCTATAAGCCCAATGCGAAGCCTACAAAGTATGGGCCCAAGTCGACCCAGACTCAACAACCACGCCATTAGCAGAGCCATCTCAACCAGGGCTCCCCGATATCTCCGATTATACACCATCTTCAGCACTAGGAGAAGGAAGAGTGCCAGCCCAACTATCTGATCTATCCTCATCAGGGCAGAGAGCCTATAAGGACGATCTTGAAGTCTACAAACTCTAGATAGAGAGTTATAAGCTAAAACACGCTGCGTACAAGACTGAATCAGCTAGCCTACAACATATTGTAGTGCTAGTTTAGTCTACTATAGCGCCACATCTCTAGCGCACTTGCTGCTTACCTATTATTATTATTATTATTATTATTCTAGTTTAACGTCCTTTTTCAGCCCGAAGGGCTATATAAGACGTGTAGGGTTTTTAGGCCTACAAGTATCTAAGTAGGTTGTTTCTAGCTACGATATTTAGGAGGGGTTTTAACTAGATGAAGGTGAGGCTCGTAGCCTATTGGTTGGTAGGGTAGGGGGGGGGGGTAGGGAGTAGGGGTGGGGGGAGGTGTATGGCTACCTATTACAGGTATTACTCCTCGTTTTCTGTGTTTCCCTTGTACC